AAAACCAGAAAAGAAAAGAAAAAAGAAGAAAATAAGGAAACGAAGAAAAACAAAAGTCCATTTCAAGGTGTGTCTTTACTGTCACTGGTAGACAGTGCAGGAAGACAAGTCCAGATCCGAGTAGTTTAATACCAGCAAGCCAGCCATTGATTTATTGTGGGGTAGTATATAATCCCATCAACCTTGGTCCTTAGTTCCACTGAAATTCAGACTGGTTTCTGACTGTGAGGCTGGGACCAGATTTGTTGAGTCTGGCACAGACTGTGTGCCTTCTGCCAGCTTCAACTCTGCTCCCTGACCTCCTGCTGACTTGAATTTGGCATTCACGACACTGGGAGCCAGTAGATGAGCCAGCTTGTAGCTGTTCTGAGCTCTGAGCTGCTTTGGCCCCTCTCCAGGATGGCTACCAGCCAGTCGCCCTCTCCCGGTTGAGGTCTGAACTGAAATAACCCACCAGCTTCTGCAGTCTACTTTGTCTACTGCTCCATTCCACTGGTGTCTTTCTCCATGTAAGCCTCTAGGGTTCCTAGTAGTCACCATTTGTCTGCAGGTTTGATCTGCCCTTTCTTCCCACACTGTGAGTCCAGACTCAGGGACAAAGCACTGCTGCCACCTCCCTCCTTTTCATTGAAGTCTCTTTTGACTCTCCTTATGGACTTCAATTTTAACGTCAGATCATTCCTGGGTCCCAGGGACCCACTAACCTCCTTTTTTCCTCCTCATGCTGCTATATTCTAATGTCAGGACACCAAATCCTGGAGAGGTTCTTTCTCTGCTGCTCACCACTCTTCCATCTTTCTGGAAGCCTCCTGTGAATTGTGCAAGCTATTTTGCCATTCAACTTTTGTATCACTTTTAATTTTTCCTGTTTTTTGAACTTGTTTAAAGTTTGGCTTGGCTTTTAGTCTTTTTTCTTTTTCTTGTTCCCCTAATCTCTCCTTGCTTTAATTGGTATCTGGTAAGGTTATATAGAAAAGTTTTGGCCCTGCACACCATTTTCTCTGGGCAGTGCCGGCGCCAGCAACGGGCTCGAGCTGCTGGGTTCGCTTCCTGTGCTGTCGTGGCTTGGCACTTTCTTCAGCCTCAGTGCCTTCAGCCTCAGATTTACAGAGTAAATTTGTGGCCAAAGAAAATGAAGTACAGAGCCTGCGTAGTAAACTTACAGATACCTTGGTATCAAAACAACAGTTGGAGCAAGGATTAATGCAGTTAATGGAATCAGAGCAAAAAAGGGTGAACAAAGAAGAGTCTCTACAGATGCAAGTTCAGGATATTTTGGAGCAGAATGAGGCCTTGAAAGCACAAATTCAACAGTTTCAATCCCAGATAGCTCCCCAGACCTCCACTTCAGTTCTAGCAGAAGAATTACATAAAGTGATTGCAGAAAAGGATGAGCAGATAAAACAAACTGAAGAATCCCTAGCAAGTGAACATGATCTTTTAACTAGTAAAGAGGAGGAACTTAAGGATATACAAAATATGAATTTCTTATTAAAAGCTGAAGTGCAAAAATTACAGGCTTTGGCAAATGAGAAGGCTGCTGTAGCACATAAATTGGAGAAGATACAAAAAAGTAGTCATGTTAAGGATGATAAAGTAAGATTGCTTGAAGATAAGTTACAGTGTGAGATTTCAAACAAAATGGAGGAATTTAAGGCTCTAAACGACCAAAACAAAGCATTAAAATTAGAAGTTCAAAGACTGCAGACTCTTATTTCTGAACAGCCCAATAAAGATGTTGTGGAACAAATGGAAAAATGCATTCAAGAAAAAGATGAGAAATTAAAGACTGTAGAAGAATTACTTGAAACTAGACTTATTCAGGTGGCCAACAACAAAGCAGGAACTGAATGCAATAAGAACAGAAAATTCGTCTCTGACAAAAGAAGTTCAAGACTTAAAGGCTAAGCAAAAATGATCAGGTTTCTTTTGCTTCTCTAGTTGAAGAACTTAAGAAAGTGATCCATGAGAAAGATGGAAAGATCAAACCTATAGAAGAACTTTTGGAAGTTGAACTTCTCAAAGTTGCTAATAAGGAGAAAACTTCAGGATTTGAAACAGGAAATAGAGGCTCTAAAGAAATAGGAAATGTCCAGCTTGAAAATGCTCAACAGTTATCTGTCACTTCTCAAGTTCAGGAGTTTCAGAACTTAGTAAAAGGAAAGGAGGAATGGATGAATACCATGAAGGCTGTTTTAGAAGACAAGGAGAAAAACCTAGCCAATACAGGGAAATGGTTACAGGACCTCCAAGAAGAAAATGAATTTTTAAAGGCTCACGTTCAAGAAGCACAACATGACTTACAAGAGGCACGTTCTGCATTACAATTTGAAAAACTTGAAATTGTGATGAAAGAAAAGGAAAATGGGGAGTCGGAGTCATGTGTCAGCCAAAGATGGCTGTACCCTGGCGAGTGGACCAAAGGTTGCAGTAAAGCTCTTGGCGTGGTGGAGGAAGAACGCGGGAGGCGAGTCTAAGGCTCAAGATGTAAAATCATAAACCTGATGGTACTATCAAGGAAAACTTAACTGATAGCATAGCCAGAAAAATTAACCAACTTCCAGAAACAGACAGGAGTCTACTTGAACATGGATCAACATATATTGGACTTAATGCTGCTTTCTGTGGTCTGATAGCAAACAGTCTTTATCGGCACACCTTGCACGTGACAAAGGCTCGCATAGCTGCTGGCTTACCAATGGCAGTGATCCCATTTTTGTCAGCAAATGCCACTTATACAAGTTTTGTAAGTTTACCTCTGAGTACAGGTGATTTGAATTGTGAAACATACACCATGACACAGGCTGGACTGATAGGTTTAGTTTTTGGTGGTTTGTACCCTGCTTTCTTGGCTATACCTGTGAATGGTGCCCTAGCAGCCAGGTATCAATCAGGCCTGCTCCCAGAGAAAGGAAACATCTTAACATACTGGATTAGAATATCCAAGCCTATCTTTAGAAAGATGTTATTTCCCTTTTTACTTCAGACTGTATTTACAGCATACCTTGAGTCTAGACAATATAAACTACTTATAACAGCTCTTCAGTTACCCAAACCGGGCCTAGAAATTCACTGATTTTTAACCAAATATGTATGCAAAAATAAAATAGTGAAAATAAGAAAAAAAAAAAGAAAAGGAAAATGAAATGAAGATAGTAGAAGCTATGCTAAAAGAGAGGGAGAGTGATCTTTCTAGCAAAACAAAGCTGTTACAGGAGGTGCAAGATGAAAACAAATTATTTAAATCCCAGATTGAGTAGTTTAAGCAACAGAATTACCAACAGGCATCTTTTCCTTCTCATGAAGAATTATTAAAGGTAATTTCAGAAAGAGAGAAAGAAATAACTGGTCTCCAGAATGAATTAGATTCTTTGAGGGATGCTGTTGAACATCAGAGGAAGAAACACAATGACCTTTGGAAGAAAAACTGGGAAGCAATGAAAGCATTGGCACCAACTGAAAAAATGCTGCAGGACAAAGTGAATAAGACTTCCAAGGAAAGACAATATGTGGAAGCTGTTGAGTTGGAGGCTAAAGAAGTTCTTAAAAAATTATTTCCAAAGGTGTCTGTCCCTCCTAATTAGAGTTACAGTGAATGGTTGCATGGATTTGAAAAGAAAGCAAAAGAGTATATAGCTGGAACTTCAGGTTCAGAAGAAGTTAAGGTTTTAGAGTATAAGTTGAAAGAAGCTGATGAAACACACACTATTACAGCTGGAATGTGATACATATAAAGTCAGTACTTGCAGAAACAGAAGGAATTTTATAGAAGCTACAGAAAAGTGTGGAGGAAGAGGAAAATAAATGGAAAGTTAAGGTGGATGAGTTACAAAAGACAAGCAGATGCTGTCATCAATTACGTTTTCAGAGCAAGAGTTAGAGCAATTAAGAGAAAATAAAGATATTGAAAATCTGAGAAGAGAACGAGAGCATTTGGAAATGGAACTAGAGAAGGCAGAAATTGAACGATCTACTTATGTTACAGAAGTGAGAGCTGAAAGATCTGTTGACTAAATTGCAGAAAAAACTTGATGATTCATATTCTGAAGCAGTAGGACAGAATGAAGAGCTAAATTTGTTGAAGACACAGTTAAACGAAACACAAAACTTAAAACTGAACAAAGTGAAAGACAGAAGGTAGCTGGTGATTTGGATAAGGCGCAACAGTCACTGGATCTTATCCAGTCAAAAATAGTACAAGCTGCTGGAGATAGTACTATTATTGAGAATAGTGATGTTTCCCCAGAAATGGAATCTTCTGAAAAGGAGACAATGTCTGTAAGTCTAAATTAGACTATAGCACAGTTACAGCACTTGCTTCAGGCTGTAAACAAGCAGCTCACAAAGGAGAAATAACACTACCAGGTTTGGAGTGAAGTAATTAGGAAACTTCAGTTGAGGACAGCAGAAGGCATTGTATTATATTTTGCCGAATTAAAGCCTTATTTATGTTTTCACCCTTTCTATTTTGTCAGAAACACTGAACAGAATTTTGTCTTTTCTAATCCTTGTTAGACTACTGATTTAAAGAGAAAAATTTAAAAAGAAGCCAATTCTGTAGACACCTTCAGAGTTTAGTTTTATAATAAAAACTGTTTGACTAATTAGACCTTTACATTCCTGAAGATAAATGTGTAATATTTTACCTTATTTTGCTCAATTGTTCAGAAGATCAAAGTGGTAAAGACAATGTAAAATTTAACATTTTAATACTGATGTTGTACACTGTTTTACTTAACACTTTGGGGGAGTAACTGCCTCTGACATCAACTCAAGACACTTTTGTTGCTAAATGTAATCAGTTTTTGTAATGGCAGTCAGCAAATAAAGGGATGCTTATTATTCAAAAAAAAAAAAAAAAAGAAGAAGAGGGCCGGGGATTTAGCTCAGTGGTTCTGCTGCCTGGCCAGCAAGCACAAGGACCACAGTTTGATTCCCTGGTACCAAAAAAACAAAAAAAGGAAGTTTTAAAATAGATTTTTCTGTTTTTTCCTCTTTAGTTAAAGGGGAAGAGAATGGAATTGATTGTAATCAAGAGGACAGAACTTCAGACCGGGGCAAGCGAGCACGTGTTCGAGGTAAGCCAGGATGATGGGGAAAGAAATGTTTGGCATCACAGGGAAGAAGACCCTTTTTAGGGGCCTCTAAGTAGGGAGGGCAGAGTACTTTGAAAGAATGGTTGGTCTTTTGCAATCATATAATTCATTTATTGATTTACTGATGTCCGAGAATGAATTGTTTGGATTATGCTGTGTGTTTTTGTTTGTTTGTTTTCGGTACTGGGAATCGAATGCAGGACCTTGTGCTTGCCAGGCAGGTGTGGTGACACTGAGCTACATCCCTGGCCCTGGATTATGCAGTTTTGAAGAAGCCAATTAGTTGTTTTCAGATGAACTGGGAAAGATTTTTTTCATTGTTGTTTTTGAGATTGGATCTTGCAATGTAGTCCATGGGCTTACATAGCCCCTGCTGGCTATCCTCCTGTTTCAGCTTTCTGAGTGCTGGGATCACAATTGCATGCCAACATGCCCTGCTGAGAAAGCTCTTTTATGAAAAATTTAAAACTTGAAGATTTAAAACCTGATCTAAAGTCAAGTCTTGCTGAGTGTGATGGTACATGCCTGTAATTATGGCACTCAAGAGACTGAGACAGGAAGATCACCACAAGTTGGAGGCCACCCTGGGCTACGTAGTGAGTTCAAGGCCAACCTGAACAGCATAGTGAGACCCTGTCTCAAAAAACAAAAGAAAACAAAAAACTAAAGTCATGTCTTACTTTTGTGATACTGCTCCCCATCTCTGCCTCCCCCAGTACTAGGGATTGAACTCAGGAGCACTCTGCCACTGAGCTAAATATTCCAGTCCTTTTTAACGTTTTGTTCTGAGTTAGGGTCTTGCTAAATTGTTTAGAATGGCCTTGGCTTTTGTTCCTCTTCCTTAGGCTGCTGAGTTGCAGGGATTACAAGAGTGTGCCATGGCATCTGGCATCACTGGCCCCCGCCCAAAGCTTTACTAACCATTTTTCCCCCCAGTACTAGAGATTGAACCCAGAGAGTTCAGAGGCACATGTCCAGTGCTTTATTTATTTTGAGACAGGTTATTGCTAAGTTGCCCAGTTTGACATTAACCTTGCGATCCTGCTCCCTCACTTCAGCCTACCAAGTAGCTGGGATTATAGATTTAGACAACTGTTCCTGGCCTCTTGTTTTTTTTTAAAGCAGAGGAAAAAAATACCCAGTTTATTCCATGTGTAAGACATGGGAGGTGTAGTCTTAAAGAGGGCCAAGAAAGATAACTTTTTCATAGGCCTGATTTTGACAGGAGCTTGGGCTTCTGAGTCCAAGGAAGATGCCCTGTCTGTGGATGCTTTGTGGGAGGATGAGGACTCCAAGTTAGTCTTGTGAAACAGATGAAGTCTCCCCGGTAACAGACAATTTCAGATGACTAGCCATGTAGTCATCTTTGTCTGGGCCAGTTGTCAGACCTCCCAGTGTCTTTCTTTGTGGAAGTGACTTGTGTCTAACATTCATCCCTAGGAGTTAGCCAAATCTGAACCAAAGATGCAGAGCACAGGTGCCTGGCTACTGAGTGCGAACTTCTGAAGTCTAGGACTCTGGTTGACAAATTGGTAGGCTTGATTTTTTACCCCTTATTGGGGATTATTACTAGGGCCTTCACACTGACCTATATCGTCAGACACCCCTCCTCTGATTTTTAAAATTTTAAGATAGGGTGTTACTAATCTGCTAAACTACCCAGGCTGGGCTTGAATTTGTGATCTTTTTGCCTCAGCCTCCTGGAGTGCTGGAATTATAGGCCTATATTATTACCATGTACAGCTGGCAGGCTAGATTTTTTTTTTTTTTTTTTGAGACAGGGTCTTGCTATGTAGCTCAGGTTGGCCTCAAACTTGCAGCAGTACTCCTGCTTCAGCCTCCTGAGTGCTGGGATTACCGATGTGTGCCACCAAGCCTGGCAGGCTAGATTGATTGTAAAGGAGGATATGAATTCTTTTTTTTTTTTTTGGTACCAGGGATCGAACTTGGGTCCTTGCGCTTGTGCAGCGGGCGACGAAACCACTGAGCTAAATCCCCAGCCCCGAATTCTTTTTTTTTAAAAATGTATTACGGGTAATTGAACCCAGGGCCTACACACTGAGCTATACCTACAGTCCCATTTGTATTTTGAGACAAGATCTCACTAAATTGCCTAGACTGGGTTCAAATCCTCTTGCCTCACCCTCCTGAAGTACTGGTATTACAGGAGTGCACCACCATACCTGGCTTGATCTGAGAGTCTGGTAGAACTCTTGACATTTTAGACAGGGAAATGGAAGGCATTCTCTTGTTTTCTCTCCTTCCAAAGGAGTCTGAATTCTGCTGTATTGTGACATGAGTTTTTGTTTTTTAATTTGTTGGTGCTGGGAATTGAACACAGAGCATTGCTCATGCTGGGCAAGTGCTCTAATACAGAGCTGTGGTTAACAGCCCCCATACAATTTTTTAAATCATAAATTAATTCTGCAAGGAATCTTTTTTTTTTTTAATCCATTCTTTTCTAGACTGTGTGGTATCTGTTCATGTAATTTTCTGCTTTGTGAATTGGAACAGATAGCACACATTCAAAAACATGATTCATTGAACTATCTAGGTGATTATATGGGCACTTTGTTTTTCTAGTAAAAAATGTATTATAGTAATTTTATATAAAAGTGGGGAGACCAAACTACTTGGTGTTTTGTTTTTGTTTTTTGGTTGAGGCTGGCTTGAATTCACCAATAGTCAGGCTGCCCTCAGACACACGACAGTCCTCCTGCCTCAGCCTCCCAAGTGCTGAGATTACAGGCATGTGCCACCACCCCTGGCCTGTTTTGTTTTGTGTTTATATGTGCATCCGCATGCATGTGTGTGTGTGTGTGTGTGTGTGTTTGCAGAATTTTGGCACTGAACCCAGGGCCTTCACACTAAGACTATCCTCAGTCTCTTCCCCATCTCCCACTTAAAGTGTTTTTTTGTTTTGTTTTGTTTTTTAATTTTGAGATAGTGTCTCACTAAGTCACTAATTTCCCACACTGGACTTGAACTTGTGATCCTCTTCCATCAGCTTCCCAGAATATTGGGATTCTAGGCATGTGTTACCTGCTCAGCTTGCTGTTTGTTTTGTGTTTGATCGATTGGCTTCATTAGATAGTAAGTCTCAGAAGTGTAGAGGACCAGATTCAAATGAAAACCACTAGGAAAGTCATTCCTATATAAAATATATTTCATAAGATTATTTGTTATTGGAGTTTTTTTGGCTATTGGACTTGATATTAAGAGTTTTGCAAAAGATTTAGGATAAGACTGAATTATTAGAACATCATGTTAGTATGCTGTCAGCAGGTTATTTGATAGCTCCTCTATGGTGACAGAGGGGTCCTGCTGAGCTTTTCTGGGATCTTCCTGAAGTGTACCAGTCTAAGGTTGTAAAATCTGGAAGACTATGGCTATATTAGGGTTCACTGCTAGGCAAGTGCTCCTCCACTGAGCTATACCCTCAGCTTGTGTGCTTATTTATTTATTTATTTATTTCGAGGCAGGGTCTTGCAAAGTTGCCTGGATTAACTTTGAACTTTTATTCTTTTTGCCTTGGTCTCCTCAGTTGCTATAATTACATTCTGTCTAAATTGCTATTAATCTATTCTTATGGTATTTTTTTAGTCTGCAGTAGTATACTTAAAACATAATTTGAGGATTTCTTGCCTTCATATATTTTAGTCTTTCAAATTTTTTTATCACATAAGCCTATGTTTCTTTTCCTTTTATTTATTTTTATTTCTAGATATATTTTTTCCCTAAATTATATAAATCTATAATTTTTTTGGTCTTTGTATATTTAGCATCTCCAAGATAATCTAAAATTTAGTGATGCTCACTACTTTTATTTGCTGTTTTATTTAAGTTTGGTTGAATGTGCTTTATGAAGAAAAAGATTAATACATTTTTCACATGGAATTCACAGCCTAGCACTCTTGTTTCTGTAGTATAGCAGAATGTGTTTATGAATTGGAAATAACATTCTCAGTATGAATATTAGATTATGTGATACTTGTTTTTCCCCACATCCTTTTTTATTAGTGCATATTGGTTGTATGGATTCGTGGATTTCATTTTTGCAGACTTGTACATGCACATAACATACTTTGATCATTTTCACATACATGCCGCCCTCATCTCCCTTGCCCTTCCCTCCTCCCCAGTTTTACCTTTTGGGGCCTTGCAGTGTGTAAAATATATCCAGCTCCCTGTTACCTGTCTTTTTACTCCCCCTTCCCCATATTCCCTTCCTCTTGACTGATAATAGTATCCTTTCAACTTTGGCATCATTTTTAGAATCCATATATTAAGGAGAACATGTGATATTTGCCTTTCTGAGTCTGGCTTAGTTTGAATAACATTTTGATCTCCAGATTCATCCATTTTTCTGCAAAATTTCATTCTTCTTTTTGGTTAAATAATACTCCATTGTGTGTATATACCTTATTTTCTTTATCCGTTCATCCACTGGTGGGCACCTAAGCTTGTTCCTTCATTTTTATTTTATTTATTTTATGTTTTGAGATAGGGTCTTGCTTTGTAGTTCAGGCTGGCCCTGAACTCACTATGTAGCCCAGGCTAACCTTGAACTCGAGGTGTTCCTCTTGCCTCTGCCTCCCGAGTGTGTGTGTGCCACCACGCCTGGCTTATTGTAGGTTTTATTTTTTGGTACTGGGGATTGAACTTTGAACCTTGTGTTGTGAGGCAGATGCAGCACCACTGAGGTAAATCCCTGGCCTGTTACTTAGCTTTTTAAAATTTTTAAAAATTTTTTTGGTACTGGAGATCAAACTCAGGACCTTGCGCTTGCAAGGCAGGTGAAGGTGCCACTGAGGTAAATCCCAGGCCTGTTCCTTAGCTTTTTCGGGGGGCGGGGGTATGGGGGATTGAACTTGGGTCTTTGTGCCTACGAGGCAGGCGGCAGGTAGTGGAACCACTGAGCTAAATCCCTGGCCTTAGCTTTTTGAGGAAGCTCCACACTGTTTTCCATAGTGGCTGTACTA